CTCGGCGCTGGGGAATCTCCTCCTTCTTCTGTTGTCATCGGCTGAATGAGCATGCGCGGCAAGAGCCATGCGCGCATTCAGCCAGTCCATAGGAAAGCATTCTCGGTGAAAATCACAGTGAGAAGCGCGGAAGCGCCTCTAGCGGCTGTCAATGAGACAGCCACTAGAGGCTGGATTAACCCATTTGTAAACATAGCAGTTTCTCTGAAAGTGCTATGTTTACAGCAGGCAGGGTTAATCCTAGATGGACCTGGCACCCAGACCACTTCATTGAGCTGAAGTGGTCTGGGTGCCTATAGTGGTCCTTTAATTAACATAAACGATTATGAATGGCAATAGAACGTATAGGATTTTAATAAGTCTCTAACTTGTCTTTTTCTTCTCCAGATCTATATCACTAGACACTGAGCTGCAGAGACTCGAAGCAGGCTCTTTCAGTGGGCTTAGCAGCATCATCCAAATGTAAGTAGCATAATTTTCCCGAATGAAATTGTAGGCCTATATCTTTATGCCATACTGATTATTTGCTTGTGCATTGGGTATATAGTTTTATTGGTTTGAATATAGTCACACAGTAATATAGACTGTAATAAAAGTAAATCTATATTACTGCAGTTCATCCAAAAAAATTTAAGGGATTTTAAGTTCCAATTTTGCCACAAAAAGGAAAATAAAAACCTTCTTAAGTCTTAAATGACAGTCAAGTATCACCTTTGATCAACTCAAAATACTAAATATTATATTTCTTGAGTAATCAGATTTAAAGGTTAAAAAAAGCTTCCAGCCATTGTTTAAAAAGAATCTAAAAATTTCGGGGGGAAATCTGAAGAAAAAAAAGAATCTAGTAAAATATTGTGCTTTCTGTAGATTTGTTGGCCATTCCAACTTTACTTAAAATATGATTGATTAGTAAGTGTATAGACTGGGAAAGGAACACATCTACACCATATGTAATAGGTACTCTGGTCCAGCCCCTCATCTGTGTCCTACTGGATCTCATTAAAATTGCCTAATTGTTTACCATGAAACAGGCAGTGGTCCTCAAGATAAAATGCACTGAGACTCCTGAAGGGCTCTTCTATGGAGAATGTAAGCTTTGTGTATTCACAAACCCATGCATTGGAAACAAATGCTCATTCAATATTCACATGGAAACGCAACAAAGTGACAACATGCTTATATGCTGATGTTATGCGGTCGTAGTAGACTCAATGGGTCTTGTACCTAATTATTGTAAAAATATAAAGCGGTTGCATTGACAATCCATTTACAATTCCCAGTCCCAGTTGGAATGGGATTTACTTAATTGTTAGAACTCAAACAATGTCTTGGCCTTTTAAGATTTGGTTCTGAATTCATTAATGCATTGCTTGAAATGCATACAAGTCAGAACTGAAAAAAAATAAATTTGCATTTTAAAGCATTAACTAAAAAAAAAGGAAAATGTTAATTATTGGAAGGAGGTTGTCCTTGGTGTTTCAAGCTAGAGACCCTGAACCTACGCATTGTTTAAAGCGGTCACGTTTTGCATCCTCACCTTGTGATGTTGGCACTGAAAATTGCCTTCCTAGCGGTAATGGAGGTGCCGCTCAGCGGTCCTACGCCAGTATGCCTGACTGCTGCAACATGTCAGTGGACGCCGGCCGCTGCGGATCCACGCCATATTGTAGCCCCACGTCTGCCAATTGGATCTGCAAGAGGGTTATTTAAACTCATTGCCCTGTCGTGGTTTCCCGTAGTTGGTTATGCGAGAGAGTGTTGCTGATCGTTATATTTCTGGTATTTGACTTTGGCTTTGTTTTGACTTCCCTGATATCTGGTATCCTTGACTTTTGGCTTTCCCTCATCATTGTGTCTCGTTCAGTTTCCCTTACCTTGGCAAGTATTTTGACTATTCTTGCATACATTAAGTCCGGCCATTCTAAGGTCTGGTTATACGTTATCCTTAGTCCTAGGCAGTGGCGGATCCAGGGGGGGGGCAACGGGGCAATTGCCCCCCCCGAGAAAATAGTGCAGCTGCCATCAGTTGAGGGACCTCATTAGGGGCTCGGTCGGGTGCTGCAGCCCTTTGGCAGACCGGGCCCCTTTAAAGTTGCAGGGAGTGCTGGGAGGAAGTGACTGTTACTTCCTCCCAGCATACAGACCGCGCGGGCTGAGAACACCCAGGATGCAGCTGGGAGAGAAGACACAGGCAGCAGGCAGCAGGCAGCTGGAAGAGAAGGAGGAGGGAGGAGAGAGAGCTCTGCAGCTTCAGACTCCCATCAGGCTCAGCCAGCCTCAGGAAGTCACCTTCCTGCAAAGAAAAAGGTATTTAAGCAGAGGGGAGAGGGGAGGGTGCTTAACATTATGGAAGCTGCAATTTGTGTGTGTGTCAGTGTGTATGTTTAGATATGTGGACATCTGTGTGTGTCAGTGTGTATGTTTTATGTATGTGGACATCTGTGTGTGTCAGTGTGTATGTTTTATGTATGTGGACATCTGTGTGTGTCAGTGTGTATGTTTTATGTATGTGGACATCTGTGTGTGCCAGTGTGTATGTTTTATGTATGTGGACATCTGTGTGTGCCAGTGTGTATGTTTAGGTATGTGGACATCTGTGTGTGTATGTTTAGATATGTGTACATCTGTGTACATCTGTGTGTGTGTCAGTGTGTATGTTTAGGTATGTGTGTATGTGTGCATCTGTGTGCCAGTGCGTATGTTTAGGTATGTGGACATCTGTGTGTGTCAGTGTGTATGTTTAGGTATGTGGACATCTGTGTGTATCGAGTGTCAGTGTGTGAATCTGTGAGTATGTATCTGTGTGTGTGTGTACCACAGACAACGTCGTCCACTGCACTCAGGTTCCGCTTTTCACTCTGGTCCACAGACTCAAAGGTGCTCTGGAATAGATAGACACTGCTAATCCGTCCAACAATACAAGGTAATAGAATATACAGGCAACACACCAGGTACCGAAGGTGTATTTATTCGAGGTTAGAACACCACATAAAAGTGCAACTTTTCAGCCCTAGAGGGACTTAAACATGATTAAGGCCCCCAAGGGCTGAAACGTGTTCTACCCTCCAATAAATACACCTTCAGTACCTGGAGTTATGCCTGTATATTCTATTACCTTGTATCTGTGTATGTGAAGGTATGTGTGTCATTCTGTGTATGTGTAGGGATGTGTGTGTGCGGTTTCGCCAGTGTGCATGTGTAGGTATGTGTGTATCTATGTGCCAGTGTGTGTGTGTGTGTGTGCCTGTGTAGGTATAGGTTTGTATCTGTGGGTGTGCCAGTGTATGTGTCTGTATCTGTTATTGTGTTTCCATATCACTGTGTGTGGCCGCATATGTGTACAGCCTCTATCCCCTAAACAAGAGTCCCCTATTCCTCCGCTGCAGCCTGTTTCACCCCGCTCTAGCCCACTTAAGTGCCCCTCCCGAGATTTGGTTCTGGATCCGCCCCTGGTCCTAGGTTTGACACAATTCCTCATGCTGGTTCAACTGTAATCCTGACAAAAGCTTAGATAAGTAGTACATAATGTAATGAATAAGAACTACATTAGTCTTTTTGTCAGGGACCTAATTTATGTACACAGCACTAGTTTGGTGGCCATGATTAAGTTGGAAAATTAGGAAGTGTAGTAATATAATTGTTAAAAAGTCTCAGTTACATAGTTGCATGATAAAAAAGAGGGATGGAACAGCGCTATCCAAACTGATCACAACAGGGAGGGGATGGCTGCACACCTGAAAGGAAAGGTAACCCTCAAAACTCTTCAAAGGACTGGAAAAACAGGAAACAACAATTACAGGGTGCGCCAAGAACAAAGTAAATAAATAAAATGGATAATAGAAAAAAAAAATACCAGGGAAACAGGCAAATTAAAGTCTCTAATTCACAGGTATATTCTTCAGAAATTCTCAGGACGTCTTGGGTCAAGTTCTCATCAGATTATTTGAAAGAGAAAAAAACACACAGAGGGGACAAATGATGCAGTAACTTAAAGGAGTATGGCTACAGACAACACTGAGATTAAGAAATGCCAACTCACATTTATGGGAGCTATAACCAGCTCGAGTTAAAACAGCATACAGTGGTATTTAAACTCCCCACATGTAGGATATTCCTCTCACGAGATTTTCAGTGCAGGTTATATGAAATAAAAACACAAGAGAAGGCCCATAGTGCTCTCTATATTACAAAAGTGCTGGATAAAATAAGAGATGTACTTACAATTTACAGAGCAGACAAACCGCTCTGTGTAAAGCGCCTGGGTGGTACGATCCCCACCATGGATTCTTTGGATGGTATAAAAGCTTCAGATGTTTAGGATATGCCAGGTAAAAAAATAAGGAGAAATATAAAAGTATTTAAAATAGTCAGAAAAAATGCTTTTATTTAGATTAAAACACAACGCGTTTCACCACAAAAGGCTTCTTCAAGTTCGCCACTTGAAGAAGCCTTTTGTGGCGAAATGCGTTGTGTCCAGGATTTATGTATTTCCCTTTTTTATTAAAATGGAGATACTGACAAAACCTGGACTGTTGGTGGTCCATGAGGACTGGGTTGGGGAACACTGGGTTAGCACATAGCAGTTTGTACTGACCCTGTATATATTTGTATAATGCTATGGACCCTGTATTTATTTGTATGGTGCTATCATATCCCCTTTGAACTGACCCTGTATATATTTGTATGGTTCTACCATATCCCCTCTGAACTGCCCCTGTATATATTTGTATAGTGCTATCATATCCCCTCTGAACTGCCCCTGTATATATTTGTATAGTGCTATCATATCCTCTCTGAACTGACCCTGTATATATTTGTATAGTGCTACCATATCTCCTCTGAACTGACTCTGTATATATTTGTATGGTGCTATCATATCCCCTCTGAACTGACCCTGTATATATGTGTATAGTTCTATCATATCCCCTCTGAACTGACCCTGTATATATTTGTATAGTGCTAACATATCCCCTCTGAACTGACCCTGTATATACACTGCTCAAAAAAATAAAGGGAACACAAAAATAACACATCCTAGATCTGAATGAATTAAATATTCTTCTGAAATACTTTGTTCTTTACATAGTTGAATGTGCTGACAACAAAATCACACAAAAATAAAAAAATGGAAATCAAATTTTTTAACCCATGGAGGTCTGGATTTGGAGTCACACTCAAAATTAAAGTGGAAAAACACACTACAGGCTGATCCAACTTTGATGTAATGTCCTTAAAACAAGTCAAAATGAGGCTCAGTAGCGTGTGTGGCCTCCATGTGCCTGTATGACCTCCCTACAACGCCTGTGCATGCTCCTGATGAGGTGGCGGATGGTCTCCTGAGGGATCTCCTCCCAGACCTGGACTAAAGCATCTGCCAACTCCTGGACAGTCTGAGGTGCAACGTGACGGTGGATGGAGCGAGACATGATGTCCCATATGTGATCAATTGGATTCAGGTCTGGGGAATGGGCGGGCCAGTCCATAGCATCAATGCCTTCGTCTTGCAGGAACTGCTGACACACTCCAGCCACATGAGGTCTAGCATTGTCTTGCATTAGGAGGAACCCAGAGCCAACCGCACCATCATATGGTCTCCCATGGGGTCTGAAGATCTCATCTCGGTACCTAATGGCAGTCAGGCTACCTCTGGCAGGCACATGGTGGGCTGTGCGGCCCCCCAAAGAAATGCCACCCCACACCATTACTAACCCACTGCCAAACCGGTCATGCTGGAGGATGTTGCAGGCAGCAGAACGTTCTCCACGGTGTCTCCAGACTCTGTCACGTCTGTCACATGTGCTCAGTGTGAACCTGCTTTCATCTGTGAAGAGCACAGGGCACCAGTGGCGAATTTGCCAACCTTGGTGTTCTCTGGCAAATGCCAAACGTCCCGCACGGTGTTGGGCTGTAAGCACAACCCCAACCTGTGGACGTCGGGTCCTCATACCACCCTCATGGAGTCTGTTCCTGACCGTTTGAGCAGACACATGCACATTTGTGGCCTGCTGGAGGTAATTTTGCAGGGCTCTGGCAGTGCTCCTCCTGTTCCTCCTTGCACAAAGGCGGAAGTAGCGGTCCTGCTGCTAGGTTGTTGCCCTGATGTACTGGCCTGTCTCCTGGTAGCGCCTCCATGCTCTGGACACTACGCTGACAGACACAGCAAACCTTCTTGCCACAGCTCGCATTGATGTGCCATCCTGGATGAGCTGCACTACCTGAGCCACTTGTGTGGGTTGTAGACTCCGTCTCATGCTACCACTAGAGTGAAAGCACCGCCAGCATTCAAAAGTGACCAAAACATCAGCCAGGAAGCATAGGAACTGAGAAGTGGTCTGTGGTCACCACCTGCAGAACCACTCCTTTATTGGGGGTGTCTTGCTAATTGCCTATAATTTCCACCTGTTGTCTATCCCATTTGCACAACAGCATGTGAAATTGATTGTCACTCAGTGTTGCTTCCTAAGTGGACAGTTTGATTTCACAGAAGTGTGATTGACTTGGAGTTACATTGTGTTGTTTCAGTGTTCCCTTTATTTTTTTGAGCAGTGTATTTGTATAGCGCTGTCTTATCCCCTCTGAACTGACCCTGTGTATATTTGCAGGGCCAGATTAAGAGCCCAGTGGGTCTGGTGCTGATATTTATGAGGGGCCTAAGTACAGAATCTTATCGACCAAAAACACTAAAACAGATTCTCTTAAAATATACTAATCTCTCTCTAATTCATGCTTTCATCTTTCAAGTAAATCCATAACCCCTAACAGCAGTGTCCAGTGAAGCAGGAAGTCAATGGGCGGTGTAAAAGGGTGGGCCACTGAAGTGGATCATGTAACCAGAACTTCCGAAAGGGACGAACAAGCCCAAAAGGGAGGCGTGTCTGCCCAAAGAATTGGAAGGGTAGGCTGGCATGAATGCATGTCTGGCTGCCTGCCAAATATGCATGCTGGCCAACAGCATCCTGAGCTCGGCATTAATGCATCTAGTGATGCACTCGCTCCATGCTTTCTAAGGACTGTCGACTACCACTCACATGTCCACTTGTCTTCTTACCGTCTTACTAGCAGGAAGAAGCTCCTGGTATAAAGTCTGAGACAGAGAAAAAGTGGATGTAGTGAGTGTAGAAGAAAGGAAACGTGTCACAGTGTTAGAGACACCAAAGACAGCATTACCTTAACTAATATTATTTCAGCTAGTCCACACACGTTTTGTTTCCACATCTCCCTCTTAAGTTTCCATACTTGAGTAAGAGTATGTGAAGAGTAGTTAGGGTTGACAACTTTCATGGAAAAAAATACAGGCGTTACTAATTTGCATAACTAATTATGTATGCGTGACATCACATGATGTAAATCACAAGTAGTGACATAAGAGAAAATTCAGTAAAATCACCAAAAAAAACTTAGTTTGATTCTGCTGTATAGATGGATTGCTTCCAGTGTCTCCCCATGTTGCCCAGTGTCCCCTAGTATCTGTGTCCCCATGTCACTAGAGGACACTGGGAGACTTGTGGACACTGAGACTATGTATCACAGTGTCCTTATGTATCAGTGTCTCAGTGCCCCATGTCTCCCAGTGTCCCCATGTCCCCTTGTCGCCCAGTGTCCCCTAGTGTCTGTGTCCCCATGTCACTAGGGGACACAGAGAGACATGGGGACACTGGAAGATGTGGGGACACTAAGGACACTGGGAGACATGGGAACACAGATACTAGGGACACAAACACTGAAACACGGGGGCGGGGCCGGGCCGCCAAGCTGCATGGCAGCAGAGCAACGAGGCTCCAGGGCCAAGCTCCGAAAAACAGCACAAAATTCAGCTATAATCCGCCCCAAAGCGAGATTGCTCACCAGGATGCCAAGGGGATCTACCCCGACTTTCATCCGATACCAAACTACAGCTAAAAATATGCCGAGAGCACCCGGTCGGACGAACCCGGCCTACGTGGCATTTTAAAGCCTGAACATAGACAGCAGCTTACGGCAGACAGATACCTAACTGCACGTAGGGAGGAACAAGCATGCCGGTTCCAGGAACATTGATGGGGACCCACAAGGGCGAGAGACGCGGCCCGCTCCGCCCCCCCCCCCGGCCGGTGGGGGTGATCCCGGCCACATGGAGGCTGCACGCCCCGGGCTGGACACAGCCACCTAGGGAACATGCTGAACTCCTATACAGGCAAAGGCTGCCTAAACGTAGCCGCCTGACAACTGCACTCAAAAAAAAAAGGGACACATACCATGGAGCACCAGAAGGGACCAACATGGGCGGCTCACACGGGCCCTGGCAGGGCCAGGCGCCGGACAGATCCACCAGGCCGTGACCTCGACCACGGGAGAGGTGTGTGCCTGGGCATATGGGTCAGGGGTCCCCGGAAAGCCCAGTCCCTGGCGCTGTGAGCCCGGTGGGGCAGGATTGTGCCGCCCCCTCGACGGACCGGTGGTCGTGGGGGGCGGTCACCGGCTCCAAGTATGCGGCCGGCGTCGGGTGAGACGCAGGAACACACTCCTCAATGGACCCAAACAGGGCCGGGGAGGTGCAGGGAGTGGACGGCCGGAGGACTTTTGTGGTGGGGCCCAACGGACAGTATAAACTCCTGAGTGCCCACGGAACTGTGGGGACCAGACCGGTGAGCGGTGATCGGCATGGGGGTGAGGGAAGGTGACCGGGCACCCCAGGGGCAGTGTGGAAGCAGCACCATGAGAGATTCCCTCCAGACAGACACCGAAACTGTGCAGGACGGTACAATTAGATGAGCAACTGACCGAGCAGCAAGGGCATGCTGCTATGTTCTTAATTGCTACCATATGTTTTCCATGTTTCAGTATTGCCTATGTATCTACCTAATTATTGCATTGTATATGTTAGCTAAACATTGTATTGCTACCATATGCGGACCGCAAAATAAGATGCAGAGAATGATCTCTCCTAGCAAATGTTAAAACAAATATGCAAAATGATATTTGCTGAATCTTAGTTATATTACCTGTGTTCACGTAATTTAACCTTTCTGCCCTACTAGGCTATGACCGTTCTTACCCGATATAAAACGCACTCGGCAGCACATGCCTATGTCGCAAACTTATTTTAGTTATGTGACCAGTGGCCACGTAATTTAACCTTTTTTGCCTTACTGGGCTATGACTGTTCTTATTCGATATAAAACGCACTCTATGACACATGCCCATGTCGATGCTACTTGCGACCACGTACTATAGCCTTTTTGCCCTACTAGGCCTTGACTGTTCTTATTCGATATAAAACGCACTATGCGGCACATGCATATGTCGCAAACTTATTTTAGTTATGTTACTAGAGGTCACGTAATTTATCCCCTTTTTTTTTTTTTTTTATCTTGTTGTTTGTTTATGCATCCCTCTTTCAGTATCGCATCAATAGCTAAGGCATACATCAGCACTTGTATTATAGGACGGTCATTTCTTTTAACACTGCATTAGTTTGCCTATATACTTCATTACATGTATTGCATGTACCTCAGATTGACGCATTATAGGATGTTGTTACCTTTTATGCTGTAATGCTTAGAAATGTATTCCTGCAAAGTTCAAGTACGCCTATATGTTCTGATCATTACGCCTCTGCGCAGGCGATAATCTGCATCTATTCCAATGTGCTAACATTTAAGCCTCTACGTAGGCGACCGTTCACCTTAATGAATGCTATAATTTACTGCTTAAGCCCCAGCGTGGGCAACCTCTGGCTTTATTACGAACCAGTTCGCAATATGCACTTATATTGTGAAAACAATAAAAATATTTAAAACAAACACTGAAACACTGGGAGACATGGGGACACTGAGACACTAGGGACACTGGCTGGGAGACATGGGGACACCGAGACACTTGGGGACATTGTGTACTTTGTCTTTAAGAGATATTGCAAACTGACAAGGTGTTAGAAATGGAACATATTGTTTTTCATACATGTTTCTTTAAGCAATAACTTCCTACTTACCTTCAGTGTATATTATGTTTATGCCATTTTGTCCCAGACGAATTACAATAACAATAATGCATAAACAAGCTTCAAGGCTATCCTATAACTCTTTCAGTACATAATATACTGTGGTAACCCTAAGTAGATAAAGATGTTCAGAATTTAAGATCTTGACCTAAGTCAGGAAACTTTCCATGACGTGTACACCCTTTAGTTATGGCCTTTTATTTTTGCCATGTTAAGGGAGGTCCTAAAATGAATAAAAGTTAAATAAGTTACTTTTTCATATATGAACTACGGTGACCCTAAAATGAAGACACCTAAGGTATAAATAGGTGTACTTTTAAATGTTAAGGCACAGAGGAGAGACTTGGAGACAGACGCTGCTTAAAATGACAGAGAGGCTGACATGATGACATGTTAATTTATTAATGATATTTGCAAGCATTTAGTTTAATCTTATAAACTCTGCTATAAATTATTGTAATGGATTTTATATGTCTATATTTATATTTTTATATAATAAATATTTAAAAAGACAAAATTGTATTGCTTCCAAGACAATCCTTATTTTATATTGTATTATCAATTATTTATATATGTTAAATTAAGATATCTGTATGGTTAGCCCTGCTAAGTTCTATGCTTTAAGACGTTATAGTGTTAAATAAGGGAACCAACCGCGGTTACACCATGTCTCAGTGTCCCCATGTGTGTCTGTGTCCCCAAGTGTGTTTGTGTCCCCATGTCTTCCAGCATCCCATAGTGTCTCAGTGTTCCCAGGTCTCAGTGTCCCCAAGTGTGTCTGTGTCCCCATGTCTTCCAGCATTATTATTATTATTATTATTATTATGTTATTTATATAGCGCCATCAAATTCCACAGCGCTTTAAAATGGGTGGACGAACAGACGTGTAGTTGTAACCAGACAGATGATAGCAATTCTTAAAGGACCACTATAGTGCCAGGAAAACATACTCGTTTTCCTGGCACTATAGTGCCCTGAGGGTGCCCCCACCCTCAGGGACCCCCTCCCGCCCGGCTCTGGAAGGGGGAAAGGGGTAAAAACTTACCTTTTTCCAGCGCTGGGCGGAGAGCTCTCCTCCTCCTCTCCGCCTCCGTTAAGCCCCGCCGGCTGAATGCGCACGCGCGGCAAGAGCTGCGCGCGCATTCAGCCCGTCGGATAGGAAAGCATTTACAATGCTTTCCTATGGACGCTGGCGTGCTCTCACTGTGAAAATCACAGTGAGAAGCACGCAAGCGCCTCTAGTGGTTGTCAATGAGACAGCCACTAGAGGATTAGGGGGAAGGCTTAACC